AATGTTAGTTTCCTTCCCTTCCTTCTATAGTTTAGAGAGAATTCCCTAAGCTAATTTCATATTGAAACTAGAGATAGATAGACAGACAGACAGACCTATCTATCTATATACACATCTACTGTTGCATCTACCTAAAAGGACTAATGACATGCATCTGAACAGACAAATTGGTAAGTTGTATTTGTAGGATCTAATCCAATCCTACACCTTAGAAAATGGAGAATAAGTAGTATACATCTTACTCACCCCTCCCACAAAGGACAGGGTGGAGTGAGGAGAAAATGAAGAGAAACCAAGAAGTGGGAGGGAAAGATAACCTGAGAAATTAGAAATCATTAATTCAACCTCAATTCCTAAGTTTAGAACAACCTTCATTTGCCTATAAAGACCTGTAGCAGGAACAGGATTAGTACTCATTCCGAAATTCTGAAATAAAATATTTTCTATTTGCTTAAATCTACATACATCTCACGTATATTAAAGGTATTTACCTCCTTTTTACCTTTCATTCTTTAAACTGTAATTTCATTGATAAGATGTAAAAAAAACACAACAAAAACCCTCCAAATACAAAAACGCCTCACATCAGAAAAACAAAAAGTTCTCATTGTTGCCTTAATTTCTTGATAAGCTTTAAATTTTCTAACCACAAAAATTAAGTCCTTTTTTCCCAAACATTTTTTTAAACTGCTGCTCACTTTTCAGCCTGACATCATTTTTATGTTTTCTTCAGAGATTTTACTTTCTAGGAACGTTCTAAATCATTTACCATACATCATTCAGATCTCCTCCACACTCTCTCTGGAACACAGGTACCCCTCTGAAAGTGGTCATTTAATACTTTCTGCCTGGTAACCACCTAGAATTTTGTGGAATGTGCTGCATACCTTTATATTCTCCCTACGATATGGATATAATTTAGATTCTAAACCCAAGGAAGGGTTTATATTAAGCAATTAATTCAGTTTTACTCAACATATTTTATGTAATCAAGGCTGACTTTTTTAGAAGTAATTGGAATCTGGTTTAGATTTTTTTTCTCATGTTCTAGTTATTTCTACAACCTTTCTAAAATTGCAACTTCTAGCCTATCCTTAAACTGGAAATTTATAAAATCCTGCTGAAAGTTCCATAAAATTCACAGAGAAAGACTCACTCATTAGACATAAGATGCAAGAGTAAAAAGAATATGCTATGCTTCCACAATATCTAGAACAGCAGTGTGTACAGAAAGAATTTTTGACTATAATAAGCTGAAAACCAGTTTAAAGATACATTTTTGTCATAAGTTCAGTCAGTACATGTCAGGGAGAGTTCTTACTGCTCCCAAAAGCTCTAGCAGCAAGTAACCGAAGACTTTACCACCTACAACTCTTCAAGGCTACTGTAAAATGATATACAAATACAGCAAACATTTAAAATTACATTTTAAGGCTTCATCTAGGGCAGTGTTTTTACAAACTAATAATTGTATTCTATAAGTGGGTCCAAAATTACTTTATTGAGTCCAAACCAGTACACGAAGAAAGGAAGCAGGAGAAGGGAGGTGAAATAGGTTAGAAAACATCAGAGTACATCACAGGTAGTACCAGCAAGGATTATTTCATGAATTTTGTTTGGTTCTGTATACTGGGAGTAATATAAAATGTATTTTAGGTATTTTAATCTTCTAAAAAAGATTAGAGGGCTTCCCTGGTGGCGCAGTGGTTGAGAGGCTGCCTGCCGATTCAGGGGACACAGGTTCGTGCCCCGGTCCGGGAAGATCCCACATGCCGCGGAGCGGCTAGGCCCGTGAGCCATGGCCGCTGAGCCTGCGTGTCCGTCCGGAGCCTGTGCTCCGCAACGGGAGAGGCCACAGCAGTGAGAGGCCGGCGTACCGCAAAATAAATAAATAAATAAAAAATAAAAAGATTAGAAAACACTGATTTGGGAGACAAACAGAGTGGAAAAGGATAAAGCAATGGAGCTGCCATAATTATCAAATTATGGCTTGGGAGGTGAGCAAGACTAACAGCTTCTATTGACGAGGAGACGGTTTGGAAAACCTCCACACATTTTAACAGCCAGATATCCCCGTGTGAGATATGAAGAAGCACCTTCTCCTCTTACAGCAGGCCTAACACATGCCAGCAAGGTCACAGCTGCCCCCACTAACTGTTCTTATCCCTTCAAACTTCCAGTGGCAGAGGTCAACCTTTACCTTCTCCTCTCAGGAACATTCGGTGCAGTTAAGCTACAGCAGCTCCTGAAAGATAATTGTTGGTCTTTGAACAACTACTCCTAGAAAGCATTAACTGTATTCCATATCATAATCTAGAGTTTCAAATAAGGCTTTGGCATTCAGAAAAGTAACTTGGAAGTAAAACAGTCATACTATTCCACTAAAACAGTCACATTTATTAGTCACACAGTCCACTAAAATGGTCATGTGAAGAAACTAAGCACCAAAATAAAAAGATTACTTTTAAGGTATTTGAAATGTTTCAAAGATTCAAGGCACAACCTGGAGCCATTTAATATTACAGTTTGATAGATAAGAAAGAGTCACTCTGTGAAGAGTTGGTATTGGAACTGCCCAAATATCAGCCAATCAACCTGCATTTTTTTCACTGGGTCTAAGTTAAGGGTTACTCTGAATATTCAGTTGCATTAACAGAGGTTTCTCATTATTTTTGAAGCCACTTTGAAAAAAACACACATTTTGCTATATAAGGGACAGTTTCATAAATTACAGTGTGTATTTGTTCTAAAGGCTCAGAACAGGTGATGGGTACTTCTCAGGACGCATCCACTCATCACAACTACTGCATATTCAAGTAAAACAACCCCACTATTGTTATGAAAGCACACACACCCCCGCCACACACACACTATTATTATAGCTGCTTCTTCTCTAATATAAATCCACACAGGACAGAAGAGGACAAAAAGTGCAGCAATAAAGAGAATTTCCCCAAATGCAGAGCGAAGGGTTCCTTTAATCTCTGCTCACAGTTTAGTGTCCTGCCTGGCTCACTGCCTCCGTTTTCTTTATACTTTAAAACTTGCTGTGTGGCTTGAGATATCAACCCTTAGCATAATCACTTGCTAGTTTTATAATGTGACCTCACACTGTTGGAAAAAGGAGCTTCAGTCTTTGCCTACTAACAATTCCTCACTAAATACAAATTCCCCAAACATAAATATCTGATAAACATCTACCAGAAAGTCATTTTGTGTACAAGTACAAAAGGATGCACCAAGACAAATTCGGGGGTTCACAGCCTCTTATCCCTAGAGGCAAAAAGAATTTTGGTTCAAACACTAATGACATAGCTCTCAATGAAAGCAGAGCTAAAAGAACCTGTTTATTTATCAATCTGATCACACATCACTAAGACTCAACTCTGATTATAGTAGAGGACAAAGCTGGACACTCTTAATCACCCTAGATTAAAGATGCCTCTAGCTTTCTGCTCTCTCCTGGGCCATTACACCAAACCTAGAGCAGAGCTACACCCACCTTCAGGCTAGAAGAAACACATAATAGCTTATTGATCTCTGGTGCAGACCCAAACCCACAAGTCACCAAGCAAGTAGGGATCACAGCCACTTGATGCAACTAACAACCAGAAGTCATGCACTGGGTTTTCTCTTCAAATAAGCACACCACTGGCAATTACCACATCAAATGTGGACCAACTCCTCCCAAACAAAAATAAAAATATATTAATCAGGTCAGGGAGCAATACATTCTGAACCACACAGAAAAACTACTATTTCTTGGTTGGCAGTAAATGCCAATCTCAGTTCATTAAATTCTTCATTCCGTGTAATTTCTCAGGTTTTAAAAGTTACCGTGACATTCAATTCCATAGATAAATGCTTTCAAAAGAGATAATACTTGCTCGTAAATTACATGTTGACTGAACTCCATCCCCACCACCATTAGTGGAATTAAGTGTTTGTGGCAAATGACTTAAGACTTTTCAGAAGTAAACTTTACCAAAGAATGATAACCTCTAATTATTTTCTTGTGAAGAAATCAAAGCACCACTCCCAAAAGTAAAGGTTAACTGTGTTCTCTGAAACAACTATACAATGTTTTTAACTGATGACTAAAAACAGTCAAGCCAGAAGTGGAACTCAAGTCTCTCAAGCAATGAATGTTCTTTCCAATTAATTCCGTTTAGCTCTTGTTCTGACCCCTGTGTACTACGTAAAGCTTGGTCCTTACTCATAGCCTCAGCCTTCTCTTAACCTCAAAGGAATATATGTAATACAACTCACAGACTGGAATAAAGCAACAGTGACAACATTAGCGGACAATGATGGATGAAATGCCAAACGAACTGGGAGTCAGGGCAGACATGTACGCCCTAATTAGGAGGGAGAGACTGAGGTGGGGCTGGAAACTATTTTCTGGCCTTCTCCCGCGTGCTGCTCCAGAGCAAGGGGCAGGATCCTGCATGCCCGGGATCAGCAGAGCCCCCGAAGTGCAGGGATGGGAAGAAAATAGCGGGCTGCTTTGCCAGGGAGTGGGGAAGGTGAGGGATCGGTGCGGTGTGAATTCCACTGAGGAGTGAACTTCCTGGCCCAGGGTGGGGGGGTTGGGGTGGCAGGACGGTCCCGGCCAGCGGCGGGGGACGACCTCCCTTTCTTTCTCCCACAGTCCTACATCTTTGTGTGTGTGTGTTATTCAAGGGGCTACGAGTCCCCGAGGAACCAGCCGGCCACCGTGGCCCTCCAGCCCAGGTCGGGAAGTCCGTCCGCCACCCTCTAGCTCCGGGGCTCCCCGGGTCCGGGACGCCCAAACACCCTCCAACACCCCGAGGGTCTGGAGACAGACGAATGGACCAAAGCATCTTCGTGTGTGGACACCCCCTCCGCTACATACATCCCTCGCCGGGTCTTTGTCCCGCCGGCGGCCGTGGTCTCTGCCGGTTCCTCGGGGAGGCCTCGGGGCCCGGGGTCGCCCCAGCTTTGTTCAGTCAGCAGGGCGCGAGGTCCAGGACACTTACCGTACACCCCGGCGAAGAAAAGCAAGACCAGCGCAGACCTCCACCGCGGAGACTCTTTTGTGCTCCAGCGACGGGCCATAACCACGGCAGATGGAGCGAGCGAGAAAGAGATGAAGGAGGCGGAGGTGGAGGCGGAGGAGGAGCTGGGGCCAGACGCCGCCGCCACCGAGCCCCCGGCTGCTCCCTGCGCTCTCCGCGGCGGCGGGAGGGGGAGGGGCCGCCGTCGCCGCCGCCGCCCGCGTGCGCTCCCTCCCTCTTTCTGCTTCCCTCCGGACCCCCCCTCAGCAGCTCGCCGGCTCCCACCCGGGGCGGCGCGAGAGTCCTCCACGGGACGGCTCTCCCGGGAGCCGGGGTAGCCAGCGCCGGTACGAGGTGAGGGGGCGGCAGACGCGCGGCTCCAGCCACGCGCCGCATAGGCTAGTCGGCGCCGCCACCCGCCAGACAGCGCTAGCCGGCACCCGCGCCCATCCGTGCGATCGGCAATCCCCTGGCCCGCCTGCCTTGGTTCCCACCCCGCGCTCCGCTGGACTTTCTAAGTCTCAGGGCCGCTTTCCCCATGACAGAGGCCGGAGGAGCAAGGCAGTGCCAATAGATGAGCGAGCGAGAGAACGCGGGTCGATGGGTTCCCCCGGGCTGGGGAGTGGGGGCCGGCTTCGGCGCTTCGCTGCAGTCAGAGGTCTCGGGGCTGCCCCTGCGGGTTGTATGAGGACGTGTTGGGTGGCGGAGAGTGGCTGCGTGAGCGAGGAGAGTGGGTGTTCGGAGGCTGGGAACTTGGGAGTTACTCTCCCCTACCCCTTCCTCCCTTCCTCCACTTAACTCGCGCGGAGCTCGGAGTGAGTGGGCGCAGGTTAGTGCCGAGACCCCGGCCGCTGGTCGCTGTGAATGCCTGCTGGGGAGCTGGGGCTGGACGCCCACGCTCAAGGTGCCCGCGATGAGCCGGACAAGGTTGGAGTGCGGAGCACTTCCAGTCTGGCGTGGAGGTGGCTCTGACATCCCCCGGGGGGGCTGGAGCCACCTCGGGGGTCGGGAAGTGAGAGAGGGGTTCACTCAGCGACCCGTGATTTCTCTAAACATCTTTCTCCATCCCAAGAAGTGTGACTCCTCCTTCCCTTACCTCTCCGTAGCACTTCCTAAATACAATTGTAGTGACACTGGCACGTCAGATCTTCCGCCTTGTATTTGTAAAGTGTTTGTCGACACGTTTCATCTCCCCTACTAGATTATCATTGACCTTTACATGCACTCTCCGGGCTATTCAAGGAAGACTTACAATGCGCTATGCTGTCCAATTGACATAGGCTATCTCTTTTTCATCTCTAACAACCTTGTGAGATAAATATTATTATCCATATTTTATAGATAAGAAAACGAGGCAAGTTAAATTACCCAAGATAGTGTAACAAATAAATGGTTTGAAACAATTTTTCTTATTCCAAATTCAAGGCTGTTTCCTCTCTACTGCAGTGTACTCTAGCACAATGCTTAGTGCGTAGTAGGTAAATATTAAAATTTAAGATGAATTTCTTTGAAGGTACATTTAGTCTTTCCGCCTATCCGCTACCGATTTGTCCCCTTTTAGATTTTTTCCCCAGGAAATGGTATTACAAACGGTGAAAAAATTATTAACAAACAATGCAAAACCCAATAATAACAAATCTTGTATCATTTGGCAAAACAAACAAAATCGAGAGCTCCAAAAATGTTTTGTACCCTCGCTGGAGAAAAAGGAGGAGCTTCAGTGTACTTCATTTAACAATCAGCAGTTGTCTGTACTAATTTTAGGATTTGAGATTCTACTTGCTTGATTCTTGAGATCTGTTTCCAGAAATTGCGCTGCCATGACCACTGTGTTTAGAACGGGTCACAAACAAAATGAAGAGAGACTGCACGGCATCTTCCTCTCTCCACTTTTAGTACCAGTCAAGGAACCCCCATCCCAAGACAAGAGGCACATTGCTGTCCTCTGTTCCTTGACTCTTGTATTCACAACCCTCTCACCCTTGCACTTGCTCATCCACCCAGACCTGTCTTCTGAGACTTATCGAGTTCTCAAACCTTTTGGTCTCAGGGGCCCTTTAAAAACACTTAAAATTTGGTGAGGACTCCAAAGAGCTTTTTTTATGTGAATCATAGCTACTGATATTTATCATTTAGAAATTAAAACAATTTTAAAATATGTGTAAATTTACTTAAAATAAAAAATGCATTACAGGTTATCTCTATTTTCCAAAACAAAAAAAATTAGTGAAATGTGTGGCATTGTTTTCGTCTTTGTAAATCTTAATGTCTGGCTTAATAGAAGACAGTTGGATTCTCATATCTGCTTCTGCATCCAGTCGGTTACAATATGTGGTGTTGGTTGAAGTATATGAAGAAAATCCAGATTCACAAAGATATGTATTGATAATTGGCAAAGAGAGGATGTCATGTACCTCCCCAGGGCCCTCAGATAAAATTTTGAGAGCTGTTCATCTAGGTGTCTATCTCAACACCTTCAAAAATCTAAGTATTTTGTTTCTTGTTGGAAAAAAATCTGATAAATATTCATTCTAAGGTATTAGAAGCTGAGCACTTCAGTGTTCACCAACCAAGGGTATTTATGTTTCATGAGGGAACATTTTATTTATACAAAATCTAATCCTAATAGAATATCAGACATTGGTAAGCAGCAGGGCACAGATTAGGTATTCAGTATTACCCTTTTTATTACCTAATCTATTGAGCTGAGTACCTAGATGTCTACTATTAGGCTAATATATCAAATAACTCATATATGAGAAAGCATTTAGAAGTTTATAAAACTATATAAAGTGGTCAGTATCTTTAACAGTTCTATTGCAGTAGGAGTGCTGATTTAACTTGGCCAACGTTCTGATCTATACCCTATAAAGCATAAAGCGTTCTCCTGAGGCTCATGTGGTTCCTAATCTCTTGGTCCCTGGATCTACAGATGTGTTTCAAGGATCCTGAAATTGTATGAAATTTTGTGCTCACGTATTTTTATAGGCAGAAGATTTGTTATTTTCAGCAGATTCTTGAAGGGCTGTGTCAATCATTTAAAAAGAATGTTTAAGAAAAATTGAATGAGGTAACTACTTGAGTTGCTTCTTAATCCTTTTCCAAATGGTTCTCAAACTCCTCAGGTACATGCATTTGGGAGAGGAGAAGTTCATGGACTATTTCTTTTCCCCTTGACATATTCGGAAAAGAGCCACCCACGCCCCTCCACTTTATGGAGATGTGCCCTTAAATAATCCTTTTGTTTTGATTTTACACTTCTCTTTCCTCCCTATTTGGCTATCACCATATATGATGGTTTAATTTTCACTCTTGTTACTAATAAAAATTCCTTCCTTCCTGGTGTAGACCCTGCTCCATTTAGTAGCCTTTGAGAACCTCGTCCACACCCAGTGAGGTTAGAATGGGAATTTAAGTCTACCACTGAGCATCATCTTTTATTGGAAAGAAAATTGATGGTAGTGGTTTTTCTACTTGGCATGCTGCTAGGCAAAGCTGACTCTTTTAACTCCCCCTCAAAGGAATATTATTTTAAAAAAGAAAAACAAACTTGATAAACACATATAAATAACTAAGGGGGAAAGAAATTTTTTTTTAAAGATTGAAGTTAAATAAATGAGAGATCTTTACAAGCAAATTGTAATTTCCATTGGAGGTGAATAATAGAGGGTAGCAAATGAGATCCATCAATCTAGGCAACTTCTATACCAGTTTCCTAGCACATTTATTGTGGTTATTATTTATTATGTTCTGTGCTCTGACAGCATACCCCAGCATTGTACCAAGTAGTCAAAAACATAATCCTGGCTATAAATTAAATATCCCCAGTCCATACAGATTGACCTTCATGAACTCAACTTCTTAACTGCAAAACCTGATTGTACAGCATGCATGAATTTACAGGGCTAACAACATCTGTCTCTTGTAGCCATATGAATCAGTTGCACCTACCAAGAAAAAAGGAGGGAAAGGGGAATTAACTACAAACATTGGTTTTTATAAAGAGATACACTGAGTGTTTTGTTGTTTAACTGCTAGGTTTCAAAATGTACATAACTGTGTTTTTTAAGTTCTTCCCATGATTGATTGAGATTATGAACTGGAAATGCTTGTGGGATGGAATCTTATTCTCTACGAGTCCATCAGAAGTGAATTTAGCAACTGTGATGGCAACCCAAGGACTCTTATATTGCTAATTTCAGGCATATACAACTTAACTGTTTGTACTCTGCCCAAGTGCAAAAAGGATTTGAGGTGCCCAGTGTTATTTGGCAATATAGTATATTGTAGTTATTAAACGTATAGGCCTTGAGAATTCAACAGAGCTGAGCCTGACCCAGGTGGTTAACCCTGGTCAAGTAACCTAACCTTATGTGCTTCATATTGCCACCAAAAAATGGGAAAATATGGGCGCCTCATTAAATTATCTGCATGCCTTAAATGAGATAATTGCTAACATATATTGAGTACTTACAGTATGCTACACCTTTAGTTCTCAAACAATCCTATGATGTCGATACAATTATTATCTCCATGTTCCAACTGAACAGACAGAGAAAGGTTCAGTAGGTTTCTCAAGAACACACAAATAGTAAATGGTCAGCATTTAAACTCAAGCAGTGTGATGCCAAACGTGCACTTTTAATCATTCTACCACATTTCATGTAAAGTACTTAATACAATGCCAGGCACTTAGTAGGTGCTCAATAAATGCCAGCTACTGTTATTAAACATATAAATAACATAAGCAAAAGAGTCCTTATTCTCTAATCTCATACAATTTAAAATGCAGTGTAAGTAGTACTTTTCTGTCTTCGTTTTTCCTAGAAGTAGCTGATACTCCCCTAATTTTGGTTTAAGTTAGACATAAGCCTCTTTTAGATTTCTTTTTAAAAAGAAAAGTCAATCTTTAAAGTTTTATTTCCTTGAGTTTTGGAAAACATGAAGCAAGCATCAGATGAAATATAAGTCTGGTTTTTTTGCTGCTTGTACTAAAATTTTTTTTCAGTGACCTTGTAGTCATTATTTGTAGTTTCCTTTGAAGATTGGAGAATCTTAGGTTGCTTATTGCCCTAATCTTCAGAGAAGATCTATGACAGATTTTTCTGATCCCGAAGAATACATCAAATCATATGAAACTGCTCAGTTATCAGGCCATGAAAACAGGTCATTTCTACTAAAGAATAGATTACTCCAGCGTCATCCTGAAAAGAATATTCTCCTTGGAAATACCCAGGCAGGTTTGCATTTTGAATATGTACCAGCTGTGATGGAAAAGAACAGTCTAATCCTTTCGATGTCTGTAGTCTACTGCTTCACTTGCACAGCAGGGGATGTGAAAGAAATGGTATCAAAAAGCATTTCAATACAAAAATTTTATTCTCATACTCCATAAA